GGCTTACCCAGCATTGCATGAGTGAGGCCCTGAGTTCAACTCTAGCACCACAGAAAGATAATAAATTCTTTTTTTTTTTTGGGGGGGGGGGTGAGGGGAGGAGGTGGGTTGTGGATCTTGAACTCTGGGCCTTGGCACTGTCCCTCAGCTCTTGAGCTCAAGGCTAGCACTCTACCACTTGAGCCACAGCACCACTTCCAGCTTTTTCTGTTTATGTGGTGCTGAGGAGTCAAACCCAGGGCCTTATTCATGCAAGGCAAGCACTTTACCACTGAGCCACCCCTTCCCAGCCCCATAAGCCCCTAAATTCTTAAGATGGCCCAGAAAATCTAGCACACTTCCAAACACAACTTGCCGTCTCTGTTCCAGCCACATTTCTATACCAGCCATACCTATTAGATTGCAGATGTTCAAAGGTGTCCTAGGTCCTCATTGCTCAGGTGCTTTTCTTTGTCCTTTATGCCCCATCTCCCTCTCCTCTTCTTCTATTCAAAGGCCAGGCAGAGACAAGTACCTGGTATGTATGAGGCCTTGCAATATTTTTCGAGTGAGTGAGTGGATTACCTGGGTAAGTGGGAAAAGTCAATGGATATTTATATTAGCCAATAGGGAGGTAGTAGGTTGGATATTCAAGGGATCCAGAGTTTCCAGGGGTGGAACTCTTAATTTTTACCATGAAATAGAAAGATGATTTGAAGGTTATTTCATTTTTGAAAAGGAATTAGGAGATTATTTGAAAAAGAGTAAAGATTTGAACTAGACAAGGTGTTATGAAAGAAGGAATATGGCTTACTGGAGACCAATTCATATATACTCATTTAACAAACATAGATTGTCTTCTCTACTCAGACTATGAACCTGTTGAGCAGCAAGGAAAGTGGTTGCAACTGGAGATCATGAATTTCCATGCTAATCTACAAGGTAACAATTTCTTCTTTCCAACAAGTACTTATCCATGTGGACAGTAAGAGAAAGGAGACAACAGGAAAGGTAATGAGCTGGTCTTTACTGTGGAATATTAATAATGGGTGAACATGTGATCAAGGGAATTGAGATTCTATGTAAAAGAGAGAAGGAATAAGTAAAATGTTAGGTTGATAGTCTAGAGTTGTAAGTTGGAGAAAACAGAGCATGAGATTAAATTTTAGAGGCTATAGATAAAGCCAGGTATTGAGATGAGTGGCCATGGGTGGGTGGATGGTTGAAAGGTTGTAATCTGAAGATTATTGGGTTTGAGGAGAATATCCATTAGGATTCTTCCCATGGAAAATAGAAGTTCACCATGTAATATCTCTCTAGTCCTCTTGACAGTGTCTTCTATTTTGTCTTAAGAGCCAAAGAATAAACTTGTCTTGACTATTGAAGTCAAGTCCTAGACTCCCCTATGACCAACTTAGAAAGATGCCTGCTGACCATGAACAAGGGAGGGACTATGTCTTCATTGCTTAGACATGGGCTATTTCTCCAACTCCCAGCAATGGGGGATAGCTTTTGGGGAGGCATGTTTTCACAAGATTAAGGGTGAGGAAACAGTGGACTACACACACAATTTACACACACAATTTAAACACAACTGTCAACATGAGACTTACTGAGAGCACTGGGTTAGCTGAGCTGCATAATGCATATAAGGGAATTATTTTTTATTTTTAAAAAATTTTTTTGTCGGTTGTGGGGCTTGAACTCTGGGCTTGGGCACTACCTCTCAGCTCTTCAGCTCAAGGTGAGCACTCTACCGCTTGAGCCACAGCGCCACTCCCGGTTTTCTAGTGGTTTATTGGAGATAAGAGTCTCACGGAGTTTCCTGACAGGGCTGGCTTTGAACCACAGTCCTCAGATCTCAGCCCTGTGAGTAGCTAGGATTACAGGCTTGAGCCACCGGCACCTGGCTATATAAGGGAATTTTTAAAGTTTCTCAGATTTCATTCTTTTTTTGGTTGGCCATGGGGCTTGAACCCTGGGTCTGGGTATTGTCCCTGAGCTCTTCAGCTCAAGGCTAGTGCTCTACCACTTGAGCCACAGTGCCACTTTTTATGGTAGTTAATTGGGATAAGAGTCTCAGGGACTTTCCTGCCTGGTCTGGTTTTGAACTGTGATCCTCAGATTTCAGCCTCCTGAATAGCTAGGATTGCAGGCATGAGCCACCAGCGATAGCTGAAATTTCTTTTAAAAAAATACTTTTGACTGTGCTAGATCAAAGCAGGGCATAGTAAATCCACAGAAAAGACAGGTTTAGTGTACTGGATTCAGGATAAAGAGCAGCTCTCTAGAGAGTGCTACAGATGAATAAAGTCTTTTAGGAGCCAGGTTTCAGGGAATGCCAGTCAGAATAAGTTCATGTAAATGCAGTTAAGGAATCATGAGGAGTGGAGTGAGATGAAAGTGTTACATAGAACTAAGCTTACAGAAGAGTGCTAGACATATGTGTTACCCACTTAAGCCATGCTCCAGCCTGGTTTATGGCTCTTTGGGACAACCTTTTTTTTTTTTTTTTTTCCCAGTAGTACACTAATAGGACTCCAGCCCAAAATTAGAAAAGAGGAATGAGTGTAGTTCAGTGGTAGATGACTTGTCTAAAATTTATGAGGCTCTGGTTGTTCCGGGTTGAGAACCTGGTGGCTACTACCACCAGGAACATTGTGTGGTTCTGTATGTAAGGAAAAGGGGAAAGGCTGCTGGACAGACAGCTGGATTGCCACACCCATTTAACTATAGAATATTGCTTAGTACAATCCCAGGAAGCCACACCCCAAGAAAGTAGCAGCATGTATGTCAAAAGAAAAAGCTGCCTTTGGAGCTGGTGGTAGAGTGCTAAAGCACTCAGGGACAGCACCTGCGTTCAAGCTCCGTGATCAAAAAAAAAAGTTGATTTCAAAATATCAGTTTCAGGGCTGGGAAGGTGGCTCAATGGTAGAGCGCTTGCCTCGCATGCATGAGGCCCTGGGTTCGATTCCTCAGCACCACATAAGCAAAAAGAAAAAAAAAGCCAAGCCGGGCGCTGGTGGCTCACGCCTGTAATCCTAGCTACTCAGGAGGCTGAGATCTGAGGATCGTGGTTCAAAGCCAGCCCGGGCAGGAGAGACCGTGAGACTCCTATCTCCAATAAACCACCAGAAAACCGGAAGTGGCGCTGTAGCTCAAGTGGTAGAGTGCTCGCCTTGAGATGAAGAGCTGAGGGACAGCGCCCAGGCCCAGAGTTCAAGCCCCATGGCCGACAAAAAAGAAAAAAAAGCCAGAAGTGGCGCTGTGGCTCAAGTGGTAGAGCACTAGCCTTGAGCTGAAGAGCTGAGGGACAGCGCCCAGGCCCAGAGTTCAGCCTTGCCGCCACACACACACACACACACAAAAATTAGTTTCATTCCTTTGTTGAACTACCCATGATTTATTATAGGTTAGGAAAGAATAGAGACCCTTCTAGAGTGAGAATTTGTAGCATGTCTTCTAGTTTCTGGAAATATAATTACTTGAAAGTGATGAAATAGCTCATGTGTTTAAAATCACGCATAACAAAATCTCCATTTCTAAAGCCAGCTAGAACATCAGGCCTTGGGCCATCTGCCTGGTATCTAATAATTATACAAGAGGCTTTAAATTTATATGTTCCTCTTGTGCATCTTTGGAATCCCCTCTCCCTCCTAAGATTCCAGAGTTGCTGGCCAGGAAGGAGGCAGCAGCAACCAAGAGCTTATAGCAAAGGCTTCGGATCCTCAAGTTTGAGAGAAGATTGCAAAGGAACTAATGGTGAGTACAGAGGGATCACTGAGAACAGTGCAGCTGAGTTAGTGGACAGCATAGATTCAGTTTTTAACAATAGAATTTGGAGAACTTATATAACTGAATGTAGTCCTTTCTGAGTCTTCCATCTTCCAGTGTGGACTACACTGTGGTGCTCCTGACATATGAATCTGATGGAAGAAATCCCTAAATTTCTATTCAGCGGCCCTGTTTCCAGCCTAATTCTTCATCTCACTCTCTTTTCACTTGGCACAGCTCCTACAGTTTGCATTCCAGAAAAGCTCCAAGGAGCAGAATTCAAGTTGAACAGATCCAAATGGGCATGAATTCTCAGCTGATTAGCAGGTGTGCTTAAAGCCCTTTAGATGTGGCTGAGCATGCCTTGATAGCACTGCCAATACAAACCTGGCTGTGGTACAGAACTTCCAAGTTTGCCAGGTGTAGGGAATTCTTTCCCCAGGAAGCCCATGACGATGGTGAACACAAAAGCTGGATGAATAAGACTGTCACTGCCTAGAAACAAGTCTCATGTGAAAACCAACAGCTAATTCCCACTGGGTCTTTCAACATCCTCAATGGAACCAATACTCTTTGAGCTTATAATTCCATGAGTCATATTATGAGTACAATGCTTCTTGGTCATTGTTACCCCTTCTATCATTCTCCCCAGCCTCCCAATATTCTTTAATTTTCATGCTAGTATTGGGCCTTAAACTTAGGACCGATGTGTTTTCTCTTAGCTTTTTCACTCACGGCTAGTGTTCTACTACTACTGGAGCCACAACTCCACTTGCAGCTTTTAGGTGATCAACTAGAAATGAGTCCCGTGAACTTTTTTGCCTGGGCTGTTTTAAACTACAGTGCTCAGCTCCTGAGTAGCTAGGATTATAGGCATGAAGTATTAGCACCTGGCTAGACTACGTAATTGATAATTTGAGTAATTTTTTTTTTTTTTTTGGGTCCGGTCATGGGGCCTGAACTCTGGGCTTGGGCGCTGTCCCTCAGCTCTTCAGCTCAAGGCTAGCGCTCTACCATTTGAGCCACAGCGCCACTTCCGGCTTTTTTCTTATATGGTGCTGAGGAATCGAAGCCAGGACCTCAGGCAGGCAAGGCAAGTGCCCTACCACTGAGCCAACTTCCCAGCCCCTAATTTGGGTAATTTTGAACCAGTTATTAAACCAGTTATTTAGGATTTGAAGGTCTCTCACAGTTGGATAGACATATTGGATAGGTTGGATTCCTAACTTGTAAGTAAAAGAGCACAGTTGGTTTGAATGTAATGTTTAATATAAGACACAATGGATTGACAGAATTGATGCAAAATTAAAAGCATAAAGATTCAATTCTTGTCAGTGAGTGTATAATCTAGGCACTTGGACAAACAATTGGCCTTCTTGTCCTGAATCCTTCATGGCCATCTGCACATCACCAGCTTGGGCTCTTAAGAACAGGATCCCACTACTTAAAAGTTTGGGTAGAATCACAGCATTCCTGAGTCCCAGTGAATCAGGAGACTGGCCCTAGCCATCATAGCAAGTGTATTTTCAGGACAAGCTTGAAAAAGGTGTGAACAGACATGGACTTGGGGTCTGGGTTGCCATACGTTTGCTACATGCAAGTTCAAGAGGTCACAGTTTGAGAGGTTTGCCTACCCACCTGTGCATCCTCCCTGACCACTCATGGTAGGGAAGATGACCATTCAGTTAAAAGATCTTTCCAAAAGCTGTATTTGGCATAAGCTAATGTCACTGCTAGTGCTGCCAGTGGCCAGGCACAGGTGTAAAAGGCCCTGAGGAGTTGGGAGTAAGGGAGAACAATGTAGGCAGGGCAGGAACTAGCCAGCTCAGATCCCTGCCCTAGGAGCCTGAGGATAAAGGCCATGCAGTAAAGGGTAACGTGGTCCTCTTTGGTCAGGCAAAGGCCCTAGTATGGACCTGAAAGGCGAAAAGAGCTGAAGGGCGCAGGCTCAGCTCTGGGGCCCTAGCTGTAGGCTCATCACATCGACGAGGTGATACAGTGAGAGGCAAGGCAAAAAAGTAGCAGAGTGGCTGCTCACCACCAGCTCCTATGAGCTGCCCTTGTCTTTGTCATCCATCAAGTCATACCTGGGGGAACAAGAATAGGATTCAGTAAGAACAAAAACGTGTGTCCTCTTCTTTGTTGTTGTTGAACTCAGGGCCTACGTGCTATCCCTGAGCTCTTTTGCTTAAGGCTAGTGCTCTACCACTTTGAGCCATAATGCCACTTCTGGTTTTTTTTGGTCATGGGGTTTAAACTCTGGGCCTGGACGCTGTCCCTCAGCTCTTTAGCTGAAGGCTAACACCCTACCACTTGAGCCACAGCGCCACTTCCAGTTTTCTGGTGGTTTATTGGAGATAAGAGTCTCATAGACTTTCCTGCCCAAGCTGGCTTTGAACTGCGATCCTCAGATCTCAGCCTCCTGAGTAGCTAGGATTACAGGCGTGAGCCACTGGCGCCTGGCCCACTTGTGGGTTTTGAGCAGTTAATTGTAGTTAAGAGTCTCACAAGGACTTTTCTGCCCTGGCCGGCCTTGAACCACAATCCTCAGATCTCAGCCTCCTGTAGCTGTTTATAAGACTGAGCCACTAGTGCTCAGTACTTTGTCCTCTTCTAACTAATACTAAAAAAAAAAAACAACTAATCCTGGGGCTTCAACTCAGGGCCTAGGCACTGTTCCTAAGCTTTTTTGCTCAAGGCTAGCATTCTACTACTTGAGCCACAGCTGCACTTCCAGCTTTTTTTGGCAATTAACTGGAGATAAGAGTCTCATACTTCCTGCCCCAGCTGGCTTCAAACCAAGATCCTCAGATCTCAATCTCCTGAGTAGCTAGGATTACAGGTGTGAGCCACTGGTGCCTGCCATAAGACACATTCTGAGTGTTCCAATATTTCATAGACTCAGTAGTTCTGAGCTCAGAGTACATTCTCTCCCCCCCCCCCCCTTTCTGTGATGGGGATGTTTCTTAAATATCCAACCCCAGGTCTTACTCATCCAGGAACTCACCATTGGGCTGCACCCTGGGAAAGATCTATTTCAGCTAGATCCAGCTGCACCTGTGTTGGAGGATGGGAGGATAGATGTTATTTTCATAACTTCAAAGACTGTTCTGTCACCACCATTTCTGATGTGACACCACTGTAGAGGTGGTAAAGTTGCCTCCCAGTGTCACCTGCGATGCTTTCTCAACACACTGCAGCCTGCAGTTCTCACCTCTGCCCTGCCCTCTTACCTTCCCCAGAAGCTCACGCTCTCTAGACATGAAGGAAGAATTAGACTTCACAGAGATATCCAGCTTTCTCCTGAGGGCCTCATCCTGAGGCAGTTCCCACTCAAACCTGGGGAGGGGCTGAATTTTAGGGTCAGGGTCCCTCACAATCCTTCCACCTCTCCACCTTGAATGCCCACTCACTGACCGTTCACTGAATTCAGGACTGAGGGTCCTCTTTTTCTGTGAGGTCTTCCTCTTGGTACCTCGGTTCTTGTCTGGCAGGAGCAACAGCGACACATAAGGGTCAGGGAGATCCCGTCCATTTTGTCGAAGGGCCCTGCAAGAGGACAAAGTAGGTGACAAGGCAGCATGACGAAAAGGATGGAGGGAACCCTAGACATCTGGATGGTGGGACTTCTCACCGGCAGCTGTGGACAATGCTAACCAGCTTTCGTTCTTCACTGTAATACCAGACTGTCAGCTTCACTTGGCCCAGAGGCCCAATGGGAGCTTCAAGGGGACTGTGGAGAGATGGAGAAAGGTCTGGGAGAAGGTGGTGCCCTGGGGAACCTGTGAGTCAAACTTCACATTCCATTCTGCATTCCATCTGCCAGCCCAGCCCTTTACCTGTCACCATGGGTAAGGCGGTGCCGGAGCTCTGGGGCCGAGGAGGTGATGTGAGCAAGTCCCCCTAAGAGCTCTGGTTCCTCACTCAGGGAGGAGGAGCTGTGACTGTGGCTGTGACTATGAGCTTCCACCCCCGAGTGCTGGGACACCAGGATCTGGGAGCAAGAAAGCAGTGAGCTGAGCAGTTTTCTTGGAGCTTGCGGTAAGGACATTCCCCTCTGTTCCCTCTCCTCACCCTCCCTCCTGCACCACCTACCATCTTCTGGCACTCACCCCTAGCTGTACTCTCAGGAGCACCTGCCCCTGACCATTGGCAAGTGGAAACCAGCGGTCCAAGCAGAGCCGATCTGCCTTGAGGATCTCTGAGAGTGGTAGGGATAAGGAGCCCAGGGCACCAGTCCCCTCACCCCGAACCTGTGGCAAATGCATTGACAATTTATTTAATCCTGGCATTCAAGGTCCAAACACTTAAGACTCATAGGTGAGTTTAGTGAGATTCCTCTTTGTGAAGAGCGGGAAATCCATGGTAACAGCAGCTGTTCCTTCTATCCTTCCTTAACTGAAGTAAACTCTACTATCTACTTGCTAAGCTTTCACAAATAGCCAATAGTACCTGCAGAGCGGAGAAAGAATGGTGTAAACAAAAATACACATCTGAGTCTTTAACTCCTCTACTTCTTGCTGGGGAGTGAGAAATATTTCTTTCTTCTCCATTTCTCCTATTCTAACACTCTTATACAAAAATAAATCCTTGCTAAAATTATTTTTTTAGGCTGGGTACCAGTGGCTCACATCTGTAACCCTAATAACTCAGAAGGTGAGATATAAGGATCATGGTTCAAAGCTAGACCAGGTAGGAAAGTCCATGAAACACTTATCTACAACTAACCATCCAAAAGTCAGAAGTAGAGCTGAGGCTCAAATGCTAGAGTGTCAGCCCTGAGCAAAAAACCTCAGGACAGTAACCAGCCCCAGAGTTCAAACCCTAACACTGGCACATAAAAAAACCAAACCGGGGCTAGGAAGGTGACTCAGTGGTAGAGTGCTTGCCTCACATGCATGAGGCCCTGGGTTCGATTCCTCAGCACCATATAAGCAGAAAAAGCCAGAAATGGCACTGTGGCTCAAGTGATAGAGTGCTAGCCTTGAGCTGAAGAGCTGAGGGACAGTGCCCAGGCCCAGAGTTCAAGTCCCACGACTGACAAAAAAAAAAGGCTAAGGAGACTAAGAACATTGTTCAAGTGGCAGAGCACCTGCCTAGCAAGTCTGAGGCCCTGAGTTTAAACACTAGTATGAAAAAAGAAAAAAACATAACCAGTTTATTTTCTTCTTTCCAGTAGTATTCTAACTGAATGTCTATATCTCCATTTCATGACTTACCAACTTCAAAAAGTTATCTACTGATTCCTTGCTATGCAAGGTAAATAATGGAGCTTTTTTTCTTTTTCTTTTTGTGCTGGTCCTGGATTCAACTCAGGACCAGGATGTTGGCTATGAGCTTTTGAGCGCAAGCTACCACTGGAGCCACAGCTACAGTGCTGTTTTCTTTTCTTTTGGTAGTGGGCCTTGAACTCTGGGCCTGGGCTCTATCTTTGAGCTTTTCAGTTTTCTGATGGTTTATTGGAAATTAGAGTCTCACGGACTTTCCTGCCCCAGCTGGCTTTTTTTTGGAGGGGCCCGGTCGTGGGGACTGAACTCTGGGCCTGGGCGCTGTCCCTCAGCTCTTCAGCTCAAGGCTAGCACTCTACCACTTGAGCCACAGCGCCACTTCTGGCTTTTTTCTTTTTGCTTATGTGGTGCTGAGGAATCGAACCCAGGGCCTTAGGCATGCAAGGCAAGCACTCTACCACTGAGCCACCTTCCCAGCCCCTGGCTTTTGTTTTTTGGTCGGTTGTGGGGCTTGAACTCTGGGCTTGGGTACTGTCCCTGCGCTCTTCAGCTCAAGGAGAGCACTCTACTGCTTGAACCACAGCGCCACCTCCAGTTTTCTAGTGGTTTATTGGAGCTAAGAGTCTCATGGACTTTCCTGCCAGGGCTGGCTTTGAACCAAGATCCTCAGATCTCAGCCTCCTGAGTAGCTAGGATTACAGGCATGAGCCACTGGTGCCCAGCTCCCCAGCTGGCTTTGAACCTCAATCTTTAGATCTCAGCCTCCTGAGTAGATAGGATTACAGGCGTGAACCACTGGTGCCTGGCTTCCACTGCCGTTGTTTTTTTTTTTTGTTGGCTAATTGAGGTAAGAGTCTTACAGACTTTCCTGCCTGAGCAGGAAAAAGTAAAAAAATCAAAAGTGGAGCTGTGGCTTAGTGGTAGAGCACTAGTCTTGAGGGGAAAACGCCCAAGTGAAAACTCAAAGCCCTGAGTTTCAAGCCCCTATACTAGGAGTGTTCCCCCCCCCCCCCCCGCAAAAAAAAACAAACAAAAAAAACTATTCAGAAAATGTTGGAAGTGATGCTGTGGCACAAGTGGTAGAGTGCTAGATTTGAATACAAAGAGGCTCAGGGACAGTGCTCAGGCCCTGAGTTCATGCCTTAGAACCGGAAAAAAAAAATCCATCTTTAAAGTCAAGAGTCATTTAAGAATGCCTTTCTTACTGCCTCTACCCACTTCCTCCAGTCTGGTGGAACCCTTCCTTCGCCACAAGAAAAACCCTTCTTCATATCCTTCTACCTAGATATTATTCTGAAAGTACTCTTTGGTTTTTGTTTGTTTTGGTTTTTTTGGTCAGTCGTGGAGCTTGAACTGTGGGCTTGGGTACTGTCCCTGCGCTCTTCAGCTCAAGGCAAGTGCTCTACCACTTGAGTTATAGTGCTACTTCTGGCTTTCTAGTGGTTTATTGGAGATAAGAGTCTCACAGACTTTCCTGCCCAGGCTGGCTTTGAACCACGATCCTCAGATCTCAGCCTCCTGAGTAGCTAGGATTACAAGCGTGAGCCACTGGCACCTGGTTTATTCTTTCTTTTTTCTTTGCTGCAAGAGACTGAGCTTCATAAGGATGACTTTGCTATTACATTTCTAATTGGTTCAGTGCCTGCTCTGTGGAGGGAACCTGATAAATATTTGTGGAATCGTTTAAATATACACAGTACCTGTAACTCCAGGCTCTCAGTGTGTGGCTTCCTGATGAGGAAGGAGGCACTCTCATCCCAGACAGGGGCTGACGTCTGGGGAATAGCCTGGTGGAGATGAGAGATTATAGTCAGTAGTTGATGCTTAATCCTCTACCCATTTCCCTTCCCTTCACAACAGCACAGTATTTCCTAATACCTTCGTTTTATGAGAAGTCTCTCCCACAGTGACAGTAGCATAAGGGCTGGGAGGCTTGGTGCCTTTTCGGAGCTGGAAAGACAATAATCGTGTTGTCTTAAATTTGAACCTAGTTAGATCACCTCACAAATTACAGCCACAGCCAGTGGCCAAGTCTCCATTTTCACTTAACAGCCACACCCTCATGGCCTTGGACAATCTTCCTGCCTCAGCACCATTTTCAGAAAGTAAGGGGCCATGAGGATCATTCACACCTAAGGGAGCTGGAGTAAGGGCCTGGGGAACTGTGGATCTCACCGGCAGGTCATCTGCCCGTTCCAGGTAGACAGACAGCAGGGCAGCTGCCAGCTCTGCACTCTTATGAGTCTGGATCAAACTGTTTACCTGCAACACCTAGGAAGACACACAGTGGACAGGGCTGGGAGCTGACACTTGGGCTGGCAAGTGCCTGGGAAGCTAAGAGAAACCCCATCCTGGTCCTTTTCCTCCAGAATCCTCTCTTACCTCCTCTAACTCAGCAGCAGTGGGTCGGGGGGTCAGCCGTTCCAGGCGCAAGTGCAGGCGGCCAGACGGGACATCCTCCAGGGTCAGCCACTGGGGAAACAGGCAGGAAATGGCTTGCAAATGTGGGAGTGGAAATGGCAAAAGAGGCATGGGTCAACTTCAGCAAGGATGGATTCTAATCCCGTGCTCACCTCATCAAGGAAGCCACTGTTTAGGACTGTGGTAAGACTTACTTTACACCTGTGGAGGAAAGATTTAAGACAAGAGGCTGATGGTCTTATTACGTGGCCTACAGAAACCCAGCTTCTATCAGCCCACCAGGGCTTCTACCCTCTCACCTGCCCAGAAAGTCATCCTTGTCCAAGTCCTTGTCAAAGACCTCAACGTCTAGCTCTTGGCCTGGAATTGATGTGACAATCACCTAATAGGAGAAAATAGTGCAGACAAAAGGGAATTCTTTTTTTTTTTTTTTTCTGGTCAGTCGGGCTTGAACTCTGGGCCTGGGCGCTGTCCCTCAACTCTTCAGCTCAAGGCTAGCACTCTACCACTTGAGCCACAGCACCACTTCTGGTTTTCTGAGTTGAACCAGAGATTTTTGACCAGTCTTAAAACTGTGAGGGAAGAATGGGGCAGACTCAGAGGAGTCTCAGTTCTGACCTCAAACACCTCATTCCAGCGGGGGTTGAGATCTTCCCGGACAACACGGCTCCGGAAGCTTCGTCCGGCCAGCTTTAGTTTGACATAGGGGTCAGACTTGCCCTTCACCAGTCCCCCTAAGAAACGGTCTTTGGCAATCAGGTCCTGGGCCTCTAATACATGGATCCGAAGTACGTTCTGCAAAAGGGAAAGGTAAGGATTGGAGGTATGACTCAAGTGGTAGATCACCTGCCTAACTAGTGCAGAGTCCTAAGTTCAAATCCCAGTAGTGCCAAAAAGGGCAGATGGGGCACCAGATGGCAATCAGTGGAACAAGAACTCTCAGAACTAAGTCTGCAGCAGGTCTTGCACACTTACAGTAGGCAAACAGACCCTAGTATTTTCCAGCTGTCAACTTACCTCAGTCCCAAACTGGCTATCAGGAGTCGTGTGACAGGGCCGGGGTGGGGCATCCACACTGCTGCCTTTCTGGGGACTCTCATTATCCATGTCCCACATACTAGGAGTACCAGGTACAGTAGGGAAGCAAATTTCTGATGAATCCAGGTACAAGATCTGGGAAAGGTAGTATGGTTGTAGAATTAAGAATGTTCAGCTAACCAATAGCAAGCAAGGTGTGGAGGAGTTGGGGGTCCAAGTAGAGATCTGACAGAGAAATCAGATTGCTGTCTTGGCTAGGCTCATCTCTAGAATGTTCCTGCCCCTCCCATTCTTAATTCACATATTCTTCCCCCAGTCAAGTCAGTAAACATGCTTTCGTATACTTACTGTAGGTGCTTCTACATATACTAGCCCATTTCATGTCAGTGGGCTCCACTTCTATACTCTATCAAGAATTTCACAGGGCTTCCCCAATCCTCTGCACTTTTTTTCCTTTTCCATACCCGCATGACCAGTTTCATGTAGAGCCTGGAGTTTAGGCCAGAACCACTGAGCTGGAACCACTGGTCCAGGGTGAGTTCCGGAGCAGTCAACAGTCGAGCCAGGGGCAGGGTCAGTGACCCTAAAGTCAGGGCTCTGGAGTCATCCTTCACCTACAAGCACAGGAGAAGGGAATTTAGAAAAGATTAGGGGAAAGAGGAGCATCGGAGGCATTAAAACATAGCTCTAGCATCATTCCTGTTTTCCTATCACAGACTACTCCGACTTTTTTTTTTTTTGAGGGGGGGGACCTTGAGCTCAAGGCCTGGGTACTTGCTCCTTAGGTTTTATTTTTTGTCTCCCTCCCTCCCTCCCTCTTCCCTCCCTTCCTTTCCTTCTTTCTTTTTCCTTCTTCCTTCCTTTTCCTTAATGCTAGCTATATCATTTGAGTCACAATCTCACCATCTTTTTGGTGGTTAATTGGAAATTAGAGTCTCATGGACTCTTATCCTGTCTGGCTGGCTTTAACCATGAAAAAAGAGTGAGAACACAAGGCCCAGAGTTCGATTTAAAATACAAGCGTGTATACGCATACAGACTCAAAATTTTTTTTATCTTACCTGTACATCAAGCTCTTGGCTTCGAGGGTCTTGCAGGAAGAAGCGAAAAGCTTCCTCCCACACTGGGCTGTTGGTGTTGTAGACAGCCTGGAGGGGGAGGATGGAATAGGGAAAATACTAAAGAACTATTCCTGTTTTTCCAGAAATCCCTTGCTTTCTCAGGCACGTAAGCCAAACATTCTACCACTTGAACTATGTCCCCTGACATATACACATCCTAAAGGGGAGCCTTCATTCCAAAAAGAACCCTCCCTTGACCGATATCATACCCCCCACAGTAGTGTCCTGGGCTCACCTTGCTCTCCTGGGTCACATCCTGAATTGACAGCTGTACCATGGGATTGGGTTCCTTGTTCCCCTTCTTCAACTGGGTGGGGGAGGGTAGAATTCAGAAGTCATCATTGGGGAATCGGTCACACCAGTATCTCTTTCCTGGGGTGGACCTGACCCCCACCTTGGAACTCTTGCACCACAGCTGTTTCAGGAGCCCACCAGGCAGGCAAATTTGCATCCTCAACCAGGGAGGGGTTGGGAATGCTGCCTTCAGGGCTTCTGTTCCCATGAGCCACCCAGGAACCCAACTCACGGGAAGATCCTGGCCCCGATCCAAGTAGACAACGAGGATGGCAGCTGATGGGGGCTCTGGTCGGGAGGCGATGCCCCGATTCCACTGCAGGACCTGAGCCGAGGGAAGGAAGAAACGGTCAGACCTGGGTCCTGGTCATTCCTAGACTACATCCCCTGCCCGCTCTCTACTCCACAAGGCTTACCTGCTCTAGCTTTTCTGCATCTGGCAAAAGTGACAGCCATTCTAGCCTCAAGTGAACTTGGCCTTGCCCACCCTGTAGAGGGAACCACTGAGGAGAGAAGCAGAAGAAAGTGTTGTAGGTATCAGATGCTACCCAAGCAATTCCCCACCAGTGTAGCAGTTATTGCCTGCCCAGAGGGTGAGCTCACTCCCAATTTCCTCTTCTCCCAACTTACTTCATCCAGTACTCCAGCTTGTAATACCCTCCCTACATCCAGCTTCATTCTGAAGGATACAGGGAGGGGCAGAGAAGGGAGGGGAAGGTGGTAAGAGGGAGAAAAGTAGAATGTTACAATCAATAGTATGTCAGTGGCCTTCATTCATCTACCCAGAACTAACTGGCAGATCCCAGACCCTTTTCCCTACACTCAGGAGATCTTGGTGTGTATGTGTATGTGCATATGCGTGTGTGCATGTATATGCATATGTATGGTCAGATGGAATGGGAAAATGATACATGAATGAATCCTAGTCTCAGAAAATATAATTACCTCTAGGACCTCAATAGCACAGGGCCTTTAGAATCTTAACATAGGTGGACTCACCTGCCCAGAAAGTCATCTTTATCTGGGTCCTTGTCAAACACTTCCACCTCGATCTCCTGTCCTGGGACCTCGTGTACCATCACCTGAAGAACACAGAAGGCTAAGGCCTGGGCTGGGAAGGTGGCTCAGTGGTAGAGAGCTTGCCTTGCATCCATGAGGCCCTGGGTTCGATTCCTTAGCACCACATAAGCAGAAAAAGCCGGAAGTGGTATTGTGGCTCAAGCTGAGCTGAAGAGCTGAGGGACAGTGCCCAGGCCCAGAGTTCAGGCCCCACAACAAACCAAAAAAAAAAGTGGGGGAGGGGCCTAAGGCTTTACAAGCTGCAGCCATGAGGACCCTCCAATCAGTATCTTCTCCCATGGCCTCTCCAAGCCTATTTCACATAGCCGACTCCCTCTTGGCTTCTTACCTCATAAGTCTCTCCCCACTGAGGGTTGAGCTCCTCATCGATGACACGACTGCAGAATGTCTGGGTGCCCACCCGCACGATTGCATAGGGATCTGACTTGCCCTCAATCAGGCCTTTCACATATTTGTCCTTGGAACTCAGCCCTCGAGCAGCCAGCAGGTGAACCCGAATAATGCCCTGGGGTTAGGAATCAATTAGTGAGAAACTCTAAGGACCTAGCTCAGAGTTCTAGAGAACAGGATTCAGCTAGCAAGGAAGAAGCCATACCCTGGGCAGAGGGGAACGCAACTGGGCCACATCATGAAGGTCAGGCACAAGGGGCACCAATAGTCGGTTTGGCAACACAAGGAAGGCAGCAATGGAATCCATGATCATGGTGTCAGAGAGTGAACTTCATTGGGGAAATAGAAAAGGAATATAGCCCCAACTTCTTATTTGCATACCCAAACCAACTGTTTCCTATTATAAAGAGACAAACCCTTTATTGAAAAGCAGCTTTAGCCAGGTACCAGTGGCTCATGCCTGTAATCCTAGCTACTCAGGAGGCTGAGATCTGAGGATCGAGGTTCAAAGCCAACCCTAGGCAGGAAAGTCCGTTGAAGCTTTTTTTTTTTTTTTTTTGGTCAGGCATGGGGCTTGAACTCTGGGCTTGGGCGCTGTCCCTGCACTCTTCAGCTCAAGGTGAGCGCTCTACCACTTGAGCCACAGCATCACTTCTGGCTTTTTCTGCTTATGTGGTGCTGAGGAATCGAACCCAGGGTCTGATGCATGCAAAGCAAGCACTCTAACACTGAGCCACCTTCCCAGCCCCCCTTGAAGCTTTTTATCTTCAATTAGCCACCAGAAAAACAAGTGATGATGTGGCTCAAAATTAAGTAGAGCACTAGCCTTGAGCAGGAGCTCAAGGACAGCACCCAGACTCTTGAGTTCAAGCCCTATGACCAGCCAAAAAGAAAAGAAAAAAAAAGCTTTGATACTTTTTTTTACCCTAATTTGCTAGTAACTACCACTCACTAACACTTAACACACACACACACTCTCTCTCTCTCTCTCTCAGTTGTGGGGCTTGAACTCTGGACCTGGGCGCTGTCCCTGAGCTCTTCAGCTCAAATCGAGTTCTCTACCACTCTATCCTAGTAGCTAGGATTATAGGCATGAGCCATGGGCGCCTAGCTTCACTGTCTCTTCTTTATTGCCCTTCCATTTCTCACTGTCTTTTTTTTGGTCAGTCATGGGGCTTGAACTTAGAGCCTGGGCACTGTCTCTGAACTGACTCATGGCTAATGCTCTGCCATTTTAAGCCACAGCACCATTTACAGTTTTTGAGTGGCTAATTGGAGATGAGTCTCACAGGGACCTTTCTGTTCAGGCTGACTTCGAACCCCAATCCTCAGGTAACTACGATTATAGGCATGAGCCACTGGTACCCAGCTTCTCTCTTTTGGTATTGATACTAGGGCTTCCACTCAGGACATGAGCACTGTCCCTGAGATTTTTTTTTGCTCAAGACTAGAGCTCTACCACTTGAGCCACAGCTCCACTTCCAGTTTTGTAGTAGTCTGTTGGAGATGAGAGGCTCATGGACTTTCCTGCCTGGGCTAGCTTCAAACCATGATCCTCAGATCTCAATCTCCTGAGACACTAATATTACAGGCTCCATTAGCCCTTTTTATTCCCTAACAAAACACATGTTCTTCCACAAAGAAAATAAATCACAAGATGAAATTTCCCAGAGGTCTTATTTCCTCCACTAGTGCTAAAGTCTCAGGGGACACTGCTGCATCTTTCACTGCTTTGTATCCCTTAAACATACAACCCAGGGCTCAGTCACTTAGTAGGTTCCTAATACCTAACTCCTGGTATATCCAGCAGATTGGTCATCCCTGTCCAGTTGATATCCAGGGTCTAGAAGAAAAGCACAGGGTTAGAACAAACCCAAAAGAGCATAGGCATACCCATCCAGTGTGTCCAGACCCCTCCTCTTTCCTCTCTTTTTCTTTGTCCCTCTCTCTTTCCCTCCCTTTCTCTCAGAGTCTCTCTCAGAGTCTCTCTTTCTCTCTCCCCATCCCTGCCCAGCCTGGGCACTGCTCCTTAATTTTTTTTACTCTAGGCTGGCACTCTACCATTTGAATCATAGTTCCACTTCCTGTTTTTTGGAGGTTAATGGGAAATGAGAGTCTCATGGACTTTTCTGCCCAGGCTGGCTTCAAACATTGATTCTTAAATCGCAGCCTCCTGAGTAGCTAGGGTTACAGGCATGAACCACTGGTGCCTGTCCACCCCCACCCCCAGTTCTTTTTCTTTTTTTTTTTGGTCGGTTGTGGGGCTTGAACTCTGGGTGCTATCCCTCAGCTTTTCAGCTCAAGGGGAATGGATGCTCTACCACTTGAGTCACAGCGCCACTTCCGGTTTTCTGAGTGGTTTATTGGAGATAAGAGTCTTTCGTGGATTTTCCTGCCAGGGCTGGCTTTGAACCTTGATCCTCAGATCTCAGCCTCCTGAGTAGCTAGGATTACAGATGTGAGCCACCAACACTCGGCTCCCAGTTTTTATAAATCCTCTTCTTACTCCTCACAGCTCCCTACTTTTACCCCCCCCCCCCAGTCCTGTTTCCCCATCCCACCTTAATGTTTTCCTTACCGGGCGTCGGATAAAGAACATTGACACAGCCCCCACGATAGGAATGTCCCCCACAAGTGGCTCAAGAATCACCCGCAAGATGCCATGTAGCTAAGACGAGAAGAGAAGGGCAAGAAGAGAAGATCAAACTATTCCACAGAAAAGGCCCTCTGTCCTCCCAGTCTTTCCCAGCCTTAAGGTTTCCAACCTCCTACTTCCATATATGCCGTGAACCTTGGGGGAGAGACTCCACTACGAGGGCCCCTGGCATTCTGACCCACCTGCATGCCCTTAATCCCTGCTTTGCAGAAATATTTCTTAACTTCCACGTCAATCTGCACATCACCCACATAGCTGGGAGGTGGTGGGAAAGAGAATAAAGAAGGTAAGTAGTAAGTTGGAATAAGGGGTTGGGGGAGTAAAGTAGTGGACCCAGGAGTGACCAAGGTCCGCCCACTGATAGGGAAACAGAATAGTGAGTAATGTTACCTGACGTTCAAGTCCAGCAGGATCTGCTCTTTTCTCTGGCTAGGGTGAACCTTGACTCCAATGATTCTCAATGGCTGGAGAGAAAGGAGGTCTCGAAAGAAGCAGGAGGGAAAGGGAAGACCCCCCCCCCCATTCCCTTTTGGACATTTATCCAGGCTTCCTGACCATCTCCTCCCAAACATACGTACCTTTTCACCCAGTTCCACTCTTGTAAATGTGAATGTTTGCAGATGGGGGTTAGATCCCCGAACAGCTGGAGCTACAGTTTCAGCCAGAAGCTTCTCCATATACTGGCCTAAGAAAGGCCAGACTTGGGCCACAATCTAGGAAGAAAGGGAGATGGTCACAGAAACCCATCTTCCCTCTAAAATCAGGGTCCTTCAGAATCCTCCCCTTAGGACAGCTCTGGAAACTAGGCTCCAACTAGAAGTGAGATGTGGCAGGGATCAGCAAAAGAAATGAAGCCCCAGTCTCCCCTTAGAAAAAATAAAACCCAGGGCAGTCCTCACCTTGTTTAGCCATTCAGCCTTTTCCACATCTGGGAAGCTGACCTGGAGGTGGAGAAGGCAGACACAGTGAACCTGTGCTTCCTAAGAAGCCAGTGGGAGGCCCACAGAGGACAGGGAACATGACCATTTGGCAGGGACTCCTAAGATCCAGGAGCTGGAGCATGTCCTGAGGTTTCTTTCCTCAGAACTAGGGTGTGCCGAGATCTCTGGAATAAGGGGAGCTAGCAGGGTGCAGGCCACACAAAGATGCTGTGTGGCTAGCTCATAGACACTAAATGACAGCTGATAGGTCAGAGAGGGGGAGGAAGGAGAAGGGCACATTCTTTCTAGAGGGGGAGGTCCTGACAAACCACAGCTCCAGGGATCCTGGGATTGGATTGGAGGAGTCCTGATCCTTTGTCCAGCCTGCCCTCCTCCTCCTCTTGCTGGACTGGGACTCCCCTACTCAGAAGATGAAGAAGAGAGTAACATCCTCAAGCAGGGAGGGGGAGAAGCGCTATGGAGGCCTCTCTGTGTGCCTCCTTTTCCTTCTATTTTCTTTCATTCTTCTCTCCTTCCTTTCCTTCTCTCTTTGCCACTCTTCCTATGTGACCTCTTCCATGAGGAAGTGTGTTCTGTGTGCGGCAAGGAGGATTCATCTCCATGCTGGATAGCTGGGGGGACAGGCAGTTGCTGCCTGGGCTACAAGTAGTCCGCTAGAGCCACCGAAGACTTTCTTCTTCCCAGTGTAGTGTCTGGGAAGTGTGGTGATGTCTGACTGTCTAATGTCTGTCATGATCCCCCGAACTAGGGAGCACCTCTGCAAGTCAGGGTGGGGCGGGTAACGGAGCATCTTAAAGCCGGAGAGAAGCATATGCTTCAGCTCTGGCGGGGTGTGTGTGTGTGTGTGTGTGTGTGTGTGTGCAGAAATAGGGTTTGGGTCTGCGGAGGAAAGAAAGCGGGCTACCCACAAGTCCGGAAAAGGGTGTGGCCGGCGGGCGCAGCGAGGGCCGCGGGAGCTGCAGCGGCCGCACCACCTTCCTCCGGGCCTCCCCCACCCCGCCCCACCCACGCCTCCGCGGTGCGGCGGCCCCGCCGCTCCCGGCGCCCCGGGGCCGGCTCAGCCCAGGTGCTAGGGCTCAGCTAAACCAGGCTGCCGCGGCACCCCGGGGCACAGGAGTGGGAAAGAGGCAAACTTTACGGCCGCCCGTGGGTTAGAAAAGAAAGACCGTGTGGCAAAGGCGAAGGAAAGACGCAGGGAACTCCGAGCAGGGACGCGGGCCAGGATGCCCAGGGGGCAGAGCAGGAGCAGCGTCTCCAGAAGCTAGCAGGAAGGGGGTGCAGGGGTGGGCTCGGAGGGAGAGTCTCGCTACGAGAGGGCCCCCGATTTTACACCGCTCTTGCCCAAGAGGAGAGGAAGACGGTCTGGATTCTGTGGAAGGACCAGCCGGCCGCGCAGGAAGGGTGGGTGGGGAGTCCCGGGCGTCCCGGGCCCGGCCCGCCGGCTAGCGGGACCAAGGGGAAATCCGGGGGCTCCGTCCACGCGCGCGGGGGAAACTTTGACTTTAGGGGCCGGGAGAGAGCCAGACCTGAGCTGCAGAAGGGAGCTGTGCCAGAGGGGTAGCTCACCCAGGCAGGTAGCTCTCGGTGGCTCATGAACAGCGTCTTGGCCGTGAGCCGCTCCTCGTCATCCAGTAGCTGTCTCGCTGCCCGAAGGCTCCGCTCTTTCTCCTCCCGCACCCGGCGCCAGCCCAGGTAGAGGGCGAGGCCGAAGAGCACGAAACCCACGCTGAGCCCCGCTGCCCCGGCCAGGTACACCGGCACCAGCACCAACAACCGCCGCCCGAACGAAGTCAGGACAGCCAGGGCCTCACCAGCCGCGCCAGGGCCGGCAGGGGGGACCCCGGAACCCCGGTCTGGTTTGGAGTGAGCAGCAGGAGGGTGGTCGGGGGGATCGGAGGGGACAGAGGGCTGGTCCATGGGCCTGGGGTTAGGGTCTTCAGGGTTGGGGCTAGAGCCCTCTCCGGGAGAGTGCTCCATGGAGCCGCCCGACCCAGCCGGAGGTTGCCTGCCTACTCGGACTGCGTGCATCCAGCTTGCAAGCCGTGACCCCCCCCTCACCCCCCCGCCCCAAGACAGGGGAGGGTCCCCCGCAAGCCACGCCCCCACTCCTGACGGTTTGGGTTGGTCCGCGCCGCATCCACCGAGGTGGAGTCAAAGGCTGAAGCCCCGCCCCTCCTGCGGGGAAGGGAGCGCGCTTTGGGTAAGACAGGACCTCCCCGATTGGATAAGAGAGCCGAAGATGGGCGGTCTGGGCTGGCGGGAAAAAGGAGGAAAGGGGCTAAAGGGCAATATTTGATTGGCAATAAAAAAAGAGGCGTGGTGTGCTATTTAAAGAGGAGGATCCAGTCCTCCTCCCACGTGGGATTGGAGCCCTATGGCATGACGTCAGGTAGAGCCGCAGGGCCAATTCCTGGATTTTAGAGAAGCTGGATTTGCGAAGTTGAGATGCTTGTGGGTGGTCAGGGTTTCCTTCTACTCATTCGAACGATTTGGCAGGATTTGGTCCTTCAGTTCACTGGTCAACTTTCCCCAACTTTTAATATTCTAAGCACATTCCTAATCCACACTCCCTCCTTCCCCCCTCCCTTTTCCCCTCTGGTTGCCCTTACAAAGGAAAGAAAATAACCCTATATGGAATGAAAGCTGTCGATGACCAACCAGGTCTATTCTGACCCCAGGCCCCTAACTTGTAATGGTTTTCTCTAGAAAAATCGGAAGACTCAGAAATAGAGTGGGGGGGGGGGAGGTGGATGGAGGAGCAAGTAAGATGTAGGACTTTCTGGAAATCTCTGAGTTGTTCATCTATATCATAGAGGAAAAATTAAGACTAAATTGACTTCAGAGTGGCTGGGGGAGGCTCCACAGTAGCAGGAAATATTTTCCAAGAATTTCCTAATTCTGAGGAATTTATAGGACATTAAAAAGAGGAATCTAGAGTAGGGAGAGAACCGGGCGCGGGTGGCTCACGCCTGTAATCCTAGCTACTCAGAAGGATGAGATCTGAGGATCACAGTTCAAAGCCAGCTCGGCAGGAAAGTCCGTGGGACTCTCATCTCCAATAAACCACTGGAAAACCGGAAGTGGTGCTGTGGCTCAAGCGGCAGAGCACTCGCCTTGAGCTGAAGAGCGCAGGGACAGCGCTCAGGCCCGGAGTTCAAGCCCCACCACCGACAAGAAAAAGAAAAAAAAGAGTAGGGAGAGGGAATATGACTAAGTGGTAGAGTGCTTGCCTAACATGAAGTCCTGAATTTGATTCCTCAGTACCACATAAACAGAAAAAGCTGGAAGTGGCTCTGTGGCTCAGGTGTAGAGTGCTAGCCTTTCAAGCCCCACGACCAGCAGAAGAAAAAAAAACCCTACAGTATTATGTAGGTTTATGATGGAAAGGTAATAATGAAAGGAATGAAAGGAAATAACTATTGTTACTTAGAGGTAGATGATGTTCAGGGATCTGGAAACTACATTAATTGCAAGCTGAAGAGGGAAGAGTTGGTCTTAAGATGATTATATTTTAATGCAGTGTGTAAATGAGTCTTTTGTGTTAGGGAGCAAAAGAACTAGGGTTCGTTATTGTGGAAAAACTAGATCAGCAGCTGATAAGTTTTAATCTGACTCTGCAGGGCATAGATTTCATCAGGCCAGATTTCATCAAAGCTGCTTTAAAACCTAGCCCAGTTTCCCTCCCTTATTCTTAATTTTTCTCACTTCCCTTTCTCCACTTCCTTGATGCCCGCAGTATTGAGATGGATTCATTCCTTTTGTAGAACTGTATAAGGAACAATTTTCTATCTGCTTTTTCTACTGTCCATATTCTAGAGGTGAGCACGCAGAAAAGGAAACAAGCAGCTTGGAAAAGATACAGATAATCTATTCCCAAGTAGCTGGAAGGCAAATGAAACTCGTTAAACAGAACTCTCTGACTGAAATTTGCAAAGCACTAGAGTGAAAGAGGGTTTCTGAGACTAGGGAATGTACAGGATGAACCTTCTTTCCAAACTTCTTCCCTTCCTTTCATCCAGATCATCAGATCTTCTTAGGACACCACTATATAGAGAACAAAACCTCATCTGTAAGCTTTTGCACCTATTGAAACCTGGGAGCCGTAGGATCCCAGCTGCAATGCAGTTAGCAGCACAAATAAACAGGGTGGGTCTCCACCCTTTGACTATGCTTGCTGCTTCCCAGGTGCCATCTGGTGGTAGTAAGCAGTAAATGGGTAACAGGAAGGGATGGTCTTTCCTTGGAGGAAGTATATTACAGGGTGGGGCTGAAGTGAGGGGAGAGAGTACCTTTATTTCCTGAACTTGTAATCTTAGATTTTTTTTTTTTGCCTCCCAGGAGATGCAGAGGGTTATTCTGATTTTAGCATACTTTATAAAGAAAATGGTAGGGCCAACAGGGTAAGGAAATGTCCTTCAGTTCTGTTCTTCAAAAGTTATTGCCACGTAGTATTCCCAGTGTTGGATGTCTCTATTCGATCTTTTTGAACTCAGGGCCTAGGCACTTCCTGTAAGCTTTTTTTGCTCATGATTATGAGCAACAGCTCCACTTCCAGTTTTTAGGTAGTTAATTGGAGATTGTCTCATGGCCTTTCCTACCCAGGTTGGCTTTAAAAGACCGTCCTCAGATCTCAGACTCCTGAGTAGTTAGGATTACAGCTCTGAGCCACCAGCACCCCAGCTCTATCAAGAATATGCCAAGAATACTCCTCACCCCGTTTTTTTTTTTTGGTCCAGTCGTGGGGCCTGAACTCTGGGCCTGGGCGCTGTCCCTCAGCTCTTCAGCTCAAGACTAGCGCTCTACCACTTGAGCCACAGCGCCACTTCCAGCTTTTTTCTTTTTGCTTATGTGGTGCTGAGGAATCGAACCCAGGGCCTCAGGCATGCAAGGCAAGCGCTCTACCACTGAGCCATCTTCCCAGCCCCCTTGCCCTGTTTCTTACTAGTTATAAAATCCTGGGCAGATAGGTGTTTGTGTGTGTGTGTGTATGTGTTGTACTGGTACTTGGGCTTGAACTCAGGGCCAGTGTGTTTACCCCTAGCTTTTTTTTTGTGGGCCATGGTGTGTGTGTACTTGGGCTTGAACTCTGGGCTTGGGCACTGTTCCTGTGCTCTTCAGCTCAAGGCAAGCGCTCTACCACTTGAGCCACAGTGCCACTTCCCGTTTTCTAGTGGTTTATTGGAGATAAGAGTTCGTAGACTTTCCTGCCGGGGCTAGCTTTGAACCGTGATCCTCAGATCTCAGACCTGAGTAGGTAGGATTACAGGCATGAGCCACTGGCACCTGGCTCTTTCCTTCCTTCCTTCCTTCTTTCCTTTTCTTTCTTCATGACGTTTGCTCTGCCACTTGAGCCACAGCTCCTTTTTCAACCTCTTGGTGGTTGACTGGAGATGAGGGTCTCAGAGACTTTCCTGCTTATAATCCTTAGATCTTAGCCTCTTGAATATTAGGATTTAGGCATGAGACACAAGTACCTGGCACAGAAAAAAAAAAAATCCTGCTTCTTCTCTGTAAAATGGGTACAATACTACCCACTGAATTAATAAAATACATGCAAAGTGCCTAGCATAGTGCTTTGGCTGCATTGTCTCAATAAATGTTAATGATCATTCTAGAACTTTTTTTTTGGTCGGTTGTGGGGTCTGAACTCTGGGCCTGGGCACTGTCCCTCAGCTCTTCAGCTCAAGGCGAGTGCTCTACCACTTGAGCCACAGCACCATTTCTGGTTTTCTAGTAGTTTTTTGGAGATAAGAGTCTCTCGGACTTTCCTGCCCAGGCAGGCCTTGAACCAAGATGCTCAGATCTCAGCCTCCTTAGTAGGTGGGATTACAGGTGTGAGCCACCAGCGCCTGCTTAGAACTCTCTATTTTGGTAGCAAGGACTTCCCTTCTTTGAGCAGTTCCTTCTCCCCACACCTCTTTTTCTTTTTGCTGAGGACTGAAACCAGAGCCTTGAGCATGTACTGTATGTCCTCAGTCATTTTTTTTTTTTTTGTCGGTCGTGGGGCTTGAACTCTGGGCCTGGGCGCTGTCCCTCAGCTCTTCAGCTCAAGGCGAGCGCTCTACCACTTGAGCTACAGCGCCACTTCCGGTTTTCTGGTGGTTTATTGGAGATAGGAGTCTCACGGTCTCTCCTGCCGGGGCTGGCTTTGAACCGCGATTCTCAGATTTCAGCCTCCTGAGTAGCTAGGATTACAGGCGTGAGCCACCAGCGCCCGGCTCAGTCATTTTTTTTTTGAGAGGATTTCAATTAAGCTGCCTAGGCTGGCCTTGAGTTAGGTAATTCTCCTGCCTCAACTTCCTAGGTAGCAGCCCTTCAAACATCTGAAAACATCTGAGTTTCTCTTTAGTGTTCTTCCTCACTTTCTTTCCTTCTTTTCTTTCTTTTTCATTCTTTCCTGACTGTCTCTCTCCCTCTCCCTGTCCCTTCCTTTCCCGTTCCTTAATTACCAGGGTTTGCTTGGCTTTTCTGCTCACAACTGGTACTCAGTCACTTATGCTACACGCCTAGCCTGGCTTTTTGCTGGTTAATTGAAGATGGACTCTTGAGAACTTTTCTACCTGGGCTGGCTTTAAAATTTGAACCCCCAGGTCTCAGCCTCCTAAATAGGTAGGATTCAAGGATTACATATATAATCTTTCTCTTCTCTTTCCTTTTCCTTTCTCTCTCTCTTTCTTTCTGCTCCAACTTAGGGCCTAGATGCTGTCCCTGAGCATTTCAGCTCCAGGCTAGCTAGAACTTTACCACTTAAGCTCCACTTTTGTGCTGGTTAAGTGGAGATAAGAGTCTCTTGGACTTTCCTGTCTGGGCTGGCTTTAAATCATAATCCTCAGATTTCAGCCTCCTGAGGAGCTAGGATTATAGGCATGAACTACCAATGCCTGACCCCCTTCAGCCTTTTCTTACAGGGTTATTTTTTCACATACAACTCTGATTTAGCAACAGCTATCTAAAACTTACATTTAGAGTACATGATACAGCCAGGCACTGTATACCTGTAATCCTAGCTACTCAGGAGGCTAAAATCTGAGGATCATTGTT